CTCTCCGTCCTGCGCGTGTGGTGGCTCGCCTTGAGGAGTGTGAGAGAGATTGTTTGGTACTCTCCGGGCGCGTCCTGCTTGTGCCAGGCTGGAGTGCAGTGGGAGCGCGCTCCTCCACGCTCACTGTAAGCTCGGCCTCCGAGTCACGCATCTTCTGCCTCAGCCTCCCGAGTAAGCTGGGGACTACAGGCGTCCTTCCCATCGCCGGCTGGTTCTTTGTATTTTGGTAGTAGAGCGGGTTCACCGGTGTTAGCCAGGATGGTCTTCGTCTCCGTGACCTCGTGATCACCGTCTCGGCCTGCCCAAGTGCAGAGTATTAGACTTGAGCCACCCGGCCGGCCTTTGTTTTTTTTTTTTTGAGACAGAGTTCGCTCAGTCGCCGAGCTGGAGTGCAGTGGGCACGATCTTGGCTCACTGCAAGCTCGTGCTGCCGGGTCACACCATTCTCCTGCCTCAGCTCCGAGTGGGCTGACGGCCACTACAGGGCGGCGCCCCACTACGCCAGCTATTGTCTTTTTTATTTGTTTAGTAGAGACGGGTGTTGTTCACCATGTGGCCAGGATGGTCTCGCTCTGACTCGCTGATGCGCCCGTCTCGGCCTCCAGAAGCGCTAGAGTATCTAGCGGCGTGAGCCCACCGCGCCCGGTCGCCACATCAAAATTAGCCAGGCGTGGTGACGGGGCGCCCGTAGTTCCGCAGCTACTCGGGAGGCTTGGAGGCAGGAGAATGGCCTAAACCGGGAGGCGGGAGCTTGCGGTGCAGCTTGAGATCGCGGACATGCAGCTACAGCCTGGGGTGACAGAGGAGAGACTCTGTCTCAAGAAAAAAAAAAAAAAAAGAGTTCTTAATGAAGGTTACAGAATCAACGAAAAATATATTTAAATCTGTTATAGAAGAAAATGTTCTCAGGCCAGGCACAGTGGCTCACGCCTGTAATCCCAGCACTCTGGAAGCCCAACATGGGCAGATCACGAGGTCAGGAGACCGAAACCATCCTGGCCAACATGGTGAAACCCTGTCTCTACTAAATAAAAAAATTAGCTGGGCATGGTGGCATGTGCCTGTAGTCGCAGCTACTAGGGAGGCTAAGGCAAGAATCGCTTGAACCTGGGAGACTGAGGCTGCAGTGAGCCGAGATCACGCCACCGTACTGCACTCCAGCCTGGGGACACAGCAAGACTGTTTCAAAAAAAAAAAAGAAGAAAAGAAAAGATTCTCTGAAAATAGTAATCACCTACCACATGGGGATGGAAATTAGAGAGGAGAAAGGAAGATTTGTCACTGAATATTTTTAAATATTTTTGATCTTTGAATCATAATTTTTTTTCTACTCAAAATAAACAAGTTGTGCTTTGCTACTTCATCCTCTTGCACATCACCTTCTTCCCTACACCTGAGACTGTTTAAGTGAAGCAACCATCTTGGAACCACAAGGAGAAAGAGACACACAATCACATGTGAGCAAGCAAATGAACTGACGACAGCAAAGCAGGAAGGCAGGCTCTCTAGATATCCTTGGACAACTGCATCAGCTTTTTTTTTTCTTTTTGTTTTTATGAGATGGAGTGTCACTGTCACCCAGGCTGGAGTCCAATGGCGCGAGCTCAGCTCACTGCAACCTCTGCCTCCCGGGTTCAAGTGATTCTCCCGCCCCAGCTTCCCAAGTAGCTGGGATTACAGGCGCGGGCCACCACACCCGGCTAATCTTTGTAATTTTTTTTTTTTTTTTTTGTAGAGGCGGGGTTTCACCATGGTGGTCAGGCTGGTCTCAAACTCCTGACCTTGTGATCTGCCCGCCTCGGCCTCCCAAAGTGCTTGAATTATAGGCATGAGCCACCGCACCCAGCCTGCATCAGCTTTCAATTGCCTACCTCCAGACCCCTTTGTGTGACAAACAGAAACTCCTTAGTTTTTAGGGTTTTTTTTTCTTTTTTTTTGAGATGGAGTTTCACTCTTGTCACCTAGGCTGGAGTGCAATGGCATCTCAGCTCACTGCAACCTCTGTCTCCTGGGTTCAAGCAATTCTCCAGCCTCAGCCTCCCGAGAAGCTGGGATTACAGGCACCCACCACCACACACAGCTAATTTTTGTATTTTTAGTAGAGATGGGGTTTCGCCATGTCGGCCAGGCTGGTCTCAAACTCCTGACGTCAGGTGATCTGCCCACCTCGGCCTCCCCAAGTGTTAGCATTATAGGTGTGAGCCACCGCACCTGGCCAGAAACAATTTAGTTTTGTTTTTTTGTGTTTTTTTTGAGACAGAGTTTCGCTCCTGTTGCCCAGGCTGGAGTGCAATGGCGCAATCTCGGCTCACCACAACCTCCGCCTCCCAGGTTCAAGGGATTCTCCTGCCTCAGCCTCCTAAGTAGCTGGGATTACAGGCATGCGCCACCACGCCCAGCTAATTATGTATTTTTAATAGAGAATGGGTTTCTCCACGTTGGTCAGGCTGGTCTCAAACTCCCAACCTCGGGTGATCCACCTGCCTCGGCCTCCCAAAGTGGTGGGACTACAGATGTAAGCCACCATGCCCGGCCAGCTCCTTAGTTTTTTAATCACCTCCACCACTACACATATATTCTAAAATAAAGAGAACCTTGTACCTTTAGACTGAAAGTACATTCTGTCTTAAAGTCTCATAGTGAGGTCTTCACCTTTAAGACATATTTTGTTGAAGTTACTGAATTTCAAGAATGATAATCAGAACCCCAGCACTTTGGGAGGCTGAGGTGGGTGGATCACAAAGTTAGGAGTTGGAGACCGGCCTGGCCAATATGGTGAAACCCCATCTCTACTAAAAATACAAAAATTAGCCAGGTGTGGTGGTGCATGCCTGTAGTCCCAGCTACTCGGGAGGCTGAGGCAGGAGAATGAACCGGGGAGGCAGAGGTTGAAATGAGCCAAGATCATGCCACTGCACTCCAGCCTGGGTGACAGAGCAAGACTTCATCTCCCCACCAACGAAAAAAACAAAGAAGATAATCAGGACAGGGTATGGGGCGGGGCGGAGGAATAAAGTTTACATGCTTCTTCACTGACCTATAAAACTCAGAAAGGGGGGAAAAAAAAGTCTGACCCTGGAATTTCACATCCTGGTAAGCTGTCTCTTCAGGAACAGACATTCTCAAGCAAGCAAGAACTCAAGGAATACAAGCACCCATGAGCCACCTTTGGGAAAAGCAAAACAATAAAGGCGACAACAAAATGAATTAAAGAAAGAACTCAAATGAAAAAAACATTACCTCAGAAATGAAAATTGAAGGACTGGTAAAATGTTAAGGAATAACTCCTTTTGTAGTAAAGAAAGATTTAATTGAAGTTAAAAGTGCAATTCTTCCAGTTTTACTTTGATTTCTTTTCAGCTAATTTCAAGAAAATTAAACTCTGGTAAATAAAAACTGCATGTACAGTATGATCTCATTTTTGTTTGACTATTCAGCCATCTTGCTTTGCTCTCTGTATAAATGGACAGATGATTATGTTTTATCAATACCTGTTTTGGGGTAGTGGGATTTTAGGTAATGTTATACTTTCTTCCTCATGTTCTTTTCTGTATTGGTATAAGTTTTTTGGGGGGTGGGACGGAGTCTCGTTCTGTCTCCCAGGCTGAAGTGCAGTGGCGCGATCTTGGCTCACTGCAACCTCCGCCTCCTGGGTTCAAGCAATTCTCCTGCTTCAGCCTCCCAAGTAGCTGGTACTACAGGCGCATGCCGACACGCCCGGCTAACTTTTTTCCGTATTTTAGTAGAGACAGGGTTTCACCATGTTGCCCAGTCTGGTCTTGAACTCCTGACCTCAGGTGATCCGCCTGCCTTGGACTCCCAAAGTGCTGGGATTACAGGCGTGAGCCACTGCGCCCAGCCTGGTGTACGTTTTAACACTCACATAAGCCGGGCGCGGTGGCTCACACCTGTAATCCCAGCACTTTGGGAGGCCGAGACGGGCAGATCACGAGGTCAGGAGATTGAGACCATCCTGGCTAACATGGTGAAACCCCATCTCTACTAAAAATACAAAAAATTAGCTGGGCCGCAGTGGCCGGCCGCCCTGTAGTCCAGCTACCTCCAGGAGGCTGAGGAAAGAATGGCGTGAACCCGGGGAGGCGGAGACGCAGTGAGCCGAGACGCACCACACACTCCAGCCTGGCGACAGAGCGAGACTCTGTCTCAAAAAAAAAAACCAAAATACTACACAGATTATTACAAAAACAGTTGTTTAAATATAATAATAATAATAATAAACAACAAAGAGTAGATACTATAAGTTGAGAGCACCTGTGCTAAATGGATGACTCCCCGAAAGCAATGTCTTGAAGAATTTGGGGAGTCTCCCAGGTGGTCATATCTGTAAGTGAGGTCCACTGGACTGCCTATAAGGGCCACTTTTAAGTCATTATGCAGCCAGCTTGAAATAAAAACAACATTTTAGAATAGTAATAACTAAGCTAAGCAGTTGGCTGTCTCATTGATCCTAAGGTATACATCTTTTACAAAATGTTAAAGCACAGAAATACATTAACAGATATGTCTGACTATGTACCTTCAAAACAGTTACAAAAATGCATGCCAAGGCAGATTCACATGCATCTAATTTGCGTGTAGAAACTGCTATCTTATGAGGCCGGTGGCGCGGTGGCAGTCAAGCCTTAATCCCAGCACTTGGGAGGCAGAGGTGGGCCGGATCACGAGGTCAGGAGATCGAGACACACTATCCTGGCTAACATGGGAACACCCCGTCTCTACTAAAAATACAAAAAAACTAGCCGGAGCGTTGGTGGCCGGGCGCCTGTAGTCCCAAGCTACTCGAGGCTGGGCAGGAAGTAATGGCCCTGAACCCTGGAGGCGGAGCTTGCCAGTGAGCCGAGGATCGGCTGCCACTGCACTCCGCCTGGTGGACACAGCGCGAGGACTCCGTCTCAAAAAAAAAAGTAAAAAAAAAAAAGATATGCTTATCTAGACCAGCAGCAGGGGCTCCAACCTGTAATCCCAAGACACCTTTAGGAGGGCTGAGCGAGTTGTGGATTACTCTGAGGTCAGGAGTCGAAACCAGCCCCTGACCAACCATGGTGAAAACCCTGTGCTCTTTCTAAAAAACAGTACTTAGCTGGGCGTGGTGGCAAACCCCTGCCTGTAGTCCAGCTACTTGACGAGCCTGAGCAGGCGCGGAAATCCCTTTGAACCGCGCCCCCCGCGGGCGCACCCAGAAGGCAGAGTTGCAGTGACTAGAATTGGGCCACTTGCACTCCAGCCCTGGCAACAAAGCAAACTCCCGTCTCTTCAGAAAAAAAAAAAAAAGCTATTAAACCGCCAGCTAGTAAAAAGTATTTCATTTATCGTTTCTTTTTGAGAGACAGCCCGAAGTCCTCACTCTGTCGCCGAGCGGGAGTCTAGCGCGATCCTCAGCTCAACTGCAATACCTCTGCCTTCCGAGTTCCAAGCAATTTCCTGCCCTCAAGCCTCCTGAAGTAGCTGGGATACAAGGCACCTGGCCCACTAGGCCCCAGCTATTTGTTTTTACGTGAACAAAGCTTTCACCATGCTTGGCCAGGCTGGTCCTGAACTCCTGACCTCAGATGATCCACCTGCCTCAGCCTTCCAAAGGCTGCGATTATAGATCTGAGCCCACTTGCAACAGTCTACAAAAAATTTTTAATTTTAGAATTAATCTGTAAATTTTTATTGCAGTATTTACACTGGCAAGTCTAATTATCTCCTAAATTATCCATTAAGGATATTCAAAACATGTTTCAAATCATGGAAAATATACTGTTTACTTCCAGATTATTCCTCTACAGCAAGGGAACTAACTAGGCTTCCAGTTCTTCCAAAAAAGTGTAAGTGCACGTAACTATACTACGTCTGGTCCTGAGAATAGTGCTGTGTTACCTGTTAGCTCGGATATATTATTAATCTCTTCACTCGCAAACCCCCTAGTCAGACAAAAACCTATATGGCTTACCCCCTCTTTTATCTCTAAGAACTTAATTTAAAAGACAAGAAAGCATAGCTACAAAAATAACCGGGTTTGGTGTTCTTAAACAAAGAAAGAAAAAAGTCCAAAAAGGACAGAAAGTCATGAAACAATTGGTAAACCTAATAAAAAAAAATGAAAACTAAATTGTCATATTATGACCTCAGAATAGGAGCCTAGGAAAAGAAAAAACTGCTATGAAAGAATTAACTGAAAAAAAAAAAAGAACCAATATAAACGGTGACTTATGAAATAATACTGTATCAAAACTAAATTTCTGGCTGGATGCAGTGGCTTATGTCTATTATTCCCAGCATTTTCAGAGGCTGAGGCAGGAGGAACACTTGAGCTCAGGAGTTCAAGACCAGCCTGGGCAACATAGGCAGATCCCATCTCTACAAAAGGTATTTTAAAAAATTAGCTGGGCATGTTGGTACATGCCTGCAGTCCCAGCTACTCAGGAGGTTGTGGTGGGAGCATCATTTGAGCCCAGGAGGTCAAGGCTGCAGTGAGCTGCAATCATGCTAATATACCTTAGCCTCTGTGACAGAGCAAGACCCCTAATACAAATACTAGCTGAGCATGTTGGCATACGCCTGTATTCCCAGCTACTCAGGAAGCTGAAGCAGGAAAATTGCTTGAACCCAGGAGGCAGAGGATGCAGTGACCCGAGATCAAGATCTCAAAAACTGAAAAAACTAAATTTATTTTTTTTGAGATGGAGTTTTGCTCTTGTTGCCCAGGCTGGAGTACAATGGCGCAATCTTGGCTCGCCGTAACTTTCGCCTCCCAGGTTCAAGCAATTCTTCTGCCTCGGCCTCCTGAGCAGCTGGGATTACAGGCATGCGTCACCACGCCCGGCTAATTTTGTATTTTTAGTAGAGATGGGTTTCTCCATGTTGGTCAGGTTGGTCTCAAACTCCCAACCTCAGGTGATCCGCCTGCCTCAGCCTCCCAAGTGGTGGGATTACAGGTGTGAGCCACTGCGCCCAGCCTAAATTTCTTCATTATTTAAGAGAATGCTCCTTGTTCTCAAGAAATCCACACTGAGAATTTAGGTATAAAAGGGCACTATGTCCACGAGAAACTTCCAAATGACTCAGAAAATTAGATTCACACATATCTATATATATACATATGTAGTGTATGTATATACACACACACACTATATATATATACACACACAGACACTGAGAATCATAATACAAACATGGCAAGACGTTAACATCAGTTAATCTACGTGAACAATATACAAAATGTATACAAAGACCATCTCAAGCGTCTTGAATTATTTCAAAATAAAAAGCTAACAAAATAAATTTAAAAACTGGTAAGGAGAGGAGAAAATGGACCTATTAGAAATCGTAGAAACTGGGCTTAGCACTTCACACCTGTAATCCCAGTACTTTGGGAGGCCAAGGTGAGAGGATGGCCTGAACCCAGGAGTTCGAGACTAGCCTGGCAACATGGCAAGGCACCATCTCTAAAAAATTTTAAAAATTAAAAAAAAAAAAAAAAAAACAGAAATGACGAAAAATTTTAATTTTAGAATTAATCTGTAATTTTTATTTTGCAGTATTTACATGGCAAGGTCAATTATCTCTTAATTATCCATTAAGGATATTTAAACATTTTCATAATTCATGAAAATATACTGTTATTCAGATTTATTCTCTACAGCAGGGAACTATAGCTCCAGTTCTTCCAAAAAGTTGTAAGTGCAGTAACTATATAGTCTGGTTTCTCTGAGATAGTGCTGTTTTTACCTGTTATCCTGATATAATTATTAATTCCCTCTTTCACTCCCCTAGTTCAGACAAAAACTATATGGCTACCCTCTTTATCTCTAAGATGTAAATTTAAAAGACAGAAAGCATGCTACAAAATAACTGGTTTGTGTTCTTAAAAAAAAAGAAAAGAAAAAAGTCAAAAAAGGGACCAGAAGAGTCATGAAACTAATTGTAAACTAATAAAAAAAAATGAAAACTAATTGTCATATATGACTCCAGAATGGATCCTGAGGAAAGAAAAAAACTGCTATGAAAGAAATTATGAAAAAAAAAAAAAAAAAGAAATTTAAATATAAACACGGTGACTTATGAAATAATACTGTATCAAAAACTAAAATTTCTTTGGCCTGGATTGCCGTGGGGCCCTTTAAATTGTCTTATTAATTCCCAGGCCCCCATTTTCAGAGGCTGAAGGCAAGGAAGAACACTGTGAACTCCCAGGAGGTTTCCAAGAAACCCAGCCTGGGGGCAACAATAGGCAAAAGAAATCCCATTCCTTAAACAAAAAAGAAATATTTTTTAAAAATTACTGGGCAGTGGTTTGGTAACAAATGCCTGCCCCCAAAAGTTCCCAGCCTAACTCAAAAGGAGGGGTTTGTTGCGGTGGGGGGAACCCATCAAAATTTGGAGGCCCCCCAGGAGGTCCCCCAAGGTCAGTGGGAGGTCTGCAAAAATCCATGCCTAAATTATACCTAGCTCCCTGTGAACAAGAAAGCCAAAAGACACCCCTAAACAACAAAACTACTGAGCATGTTTGGGGCCCAAACGCCCTGTATCCCACCCCTACGTCCAGGAAAGGCCGAAAGCAGGAAAAATTGGGCCCTTGAACACCCAGGGAGCGCAAAGGGATGGCAGTGGGACCCCCAAGGATCCAAAAATCCGTCCCAAAAAAAACTTGAAAAAAAAACGCTAAATTTAAATTTTTTTTTTTGGAGAGGGAGTTTTGCCATCTGTTGCCAGGCCCCCTGGGGAGTACAAGGCCGCAATCTTGTCGCCCGGGAACCTTTCCGCCCTCCCAGCCCAGTTCAGCATTCTTCTGCTTCGGCTCCTTGGCGAAAAAAGCAAAGCTTGCGGATTCACAGGCCAAATGCTCACCACGTCAGCTTTATTTTTTGTCAAAATTATAAGAAGTGGGTTTCATGGTTTGGGTTCAGCCAGTTTTGTCAACCTCCCCACCCCCCAGGTGGATTCCG